TTCTGCCCTGGCCTATTCACATTTCCTATATCCTCCTATCATGCCTTCCCTGTCACAATTTTTACCGTACCATAACTTAACCATAACTGTTTAGCACATGTTTGGTCAAAGGATGGGCTTCATTTGTCTCTTTGACTAGTTGTAATATGGTGCTACGAATGGCGAGACTCACTGACGATGCCGACTACAATTTCGGCGAAACGTCTGGGAATGTACCACGTCCATGGTCCTACTCTGGAAATAATTATGCATACAATGGACTCCGGACAAGGTGCGTTCTTCAAAGTCTTCCTACCAATATGACCGAGTTGAAAAAAAGTATCAGTAAGTTTATTTATCTACTTATTGTTTTGAATTTTCTTTGACTTGCGTTTAATGCCTAAATTCCTTAATGTTTTCAATCATATCGACATTAAATCTTGTCCTTACTTTCTTCACTCTATAGCTTTAATATGTTCTAGTGATGATACCATGTTTATGTTGATGTTCGTTATACGAAGGACGAAGGTTTAGCAAGTGTTGACTGGAATCAAAGAGATTGCCTCGGAAACGGCCTCAACAAGAATTTTCCAGTAAAGCCAGTCGGCAGTATGTTAAGACGAATCCGTCGTCGGCTTATGGTTGTATCGACCTTCAAGTCTCTTCAACAATCTTTCCCACGAAATTGAATTAAGCTCAACAGTAATGAAACAGGAGATTCCTCGAAGCACAACTTTTATTCGCTTAAATTATGAGTGTCTATAAATCTACACCATGGCAGACTGTACTTTAACTATAATCTGATAACTAATAATTAAGAGAACATAACAACTAGCAGTGATTAATGTAGGCTCTTTCCATTAGCCTGAATAAAGAATGTTTAATAACTTCACTGTTAAGGCCAAATTTTATAGGACTTTTAGGCTGTGACTTGATTACTCAGTTCAGCCCAGGAAGCTGGAATTAATTGATTTTACTCTCTCCATTTAACAACTCAATCTATTTACGATACTGTATTATATTATAGTACAATTAGCAGAGTTTTGATATGGAGATTTTTTCATCAACAATCAAAATGCAGCAATCCTCACTGGAGGATAGTGGAGTTTATTAGAAAATATTTATTTTCCCGCAACAATGATGTGTGGCAGTAGGTGCTAGTGAGAATTGTCTGATTCCGCCTTGACCTACCGCATCCAAAGTTAAGTTTGCCAGCCAATCATTATAGAAAAGTTTGTGGCGAAACTCAGCGGTAAATGGTCCCAGATAGCTGAGAAATGCAGAACTGATTAGGCAATGGCCGAGAAGATGGCTGCGTTCCAAGGTAAGAGACTTAATCTCCTGTGTCCATCTGAAACAGAATAATTAAGCACATTGAGGCATATTTAAATACTGGGAAAGCAAGCACAAGTAAAATTTGAATAATATTTTGCGGTGATCGATGAGTTGGCACATGTTGAGGTAGTTGTCATTACGTGCATCATTCTTTGGGAAAGAACGATATGCGGGTTTTATTTATTTAGAATTAAATGGGGTAATTAGATTTTCGATATTAAGACCAAGATGGTGTAGCCCTCTCTTCTGTCTTCTTAAGCCACATAGGGTTGGCTTGACCTGTTTTCGCAAGTTGGTCGGAGCGTCAGCGAGACCTTGTGGAACGTACCTAGACCTGCGTGCTTTGTCATAGTATTCGTGAGTTCCGGTATCGGGTACGTTCCCTGACGTGACGTCGGTATTCTAAATGGCATTGTCAGTGACAGACACTATCATTAGCACAACTTATCAAAGGGACAAATGAAGATAATCCCCTAAACCAATTTTCTGTCCAACCGTTCTGTCATCCTTCTCGCCGCGAGACTTTGCCCAACCCTCTACTGCTACATTCACTTTCGATCAACCCCACTTCATATGGCTCATTTAACCATTCACACAATTTTGTGCTCTCGTATCCTCCAATGCCGCCCAAGAGTGTGTCGTTACAATGGATTTACTGAATTGTAATCACCTTCACCACTTGTTTCAGATACTATCTGCAGGGCTTCGGAGTCATGAATTAAATGGGATTCTCAACTTGACAGACATTAGGAGTGGAAAAAGGGAAGCGGTGCAATTTCAGTCCTGTGGTTCCGAATTAAGCCGGACGCAGGGCCCCAAAGAATGAGATACAATGTGTGTGCGGATGAGAAAGAGGATAACC